GTGTTCGTGAGTTACAATAATGAGCCAGTCTTCCCACATATATGGTATTGCATAGTTTTAGATAAAGCATTTCTGGAACTTTTAATTATGATTGATTACTAAATAATTGAATATTCATCCAAAGACCTAGAAGTCCAAACATAACCAGGGAGCACATGTTCTCATACCTGCTTACTCACAAGGTTTCTTTTATTGTCTATTTGAGTTCAAGACAACAGACTGAGATTCATTAAGCTTTATAGAACTATTAACAAATTATGGAACAAAGATTTATGATTTATACATTATATGATTATTTATCTAAAAATAAATATATTTACTTTTATTACCAAATACTATATAGTCCTATTTTTAGAAGTAGAATTTTACTGGAGTCATCATTTTAAGAAAATACATTGTTTCAAGCACTGTATCTTTATATGAACACAATATGGGATAACTCCTAGGAGAATTAAATACCATTCAGTATGTGATGAACAAAGAGAACTGGTTGAATAATTGCTCTCTGTTCATGAGTAGAAAGTCTGTGGTGTTACCGACGCAGAGATGTGGTCCAGAGTTCTGATCATTGAAATCGAAGGGGCATGCCCATCCAAGATTAGGGCCGACTATGATCTCCTTGCCCCAACTGGATTCTGCTTCTCCCGAGCGAGGTGGAAGGAGTCCTTAAATGAAACAAAAATGCCAGCTAACATTCTGGACTGAGGCCAAGGTCTAAGGCCAAGGAAAGGAAAACATGGTCTCTTCAAGATGTAGTGGAAAGGAAATTAACACACTAGAACATGCTACCTATTTAATTTGTTTATCTGGCAACTCTGGCAAATTATGATGTTGGACTATGTCCCACCTTTTAATAGAGTATGCATGTGCAGAATCTTTAAAATCTGTGCATACAGCTTCTGGGGTGCATTCTCACTGCACCTGGCAGAAAGCTCCATCTGTTTCATGCTACCTCAGTCACTGTCCGGTTCCCTCTAAGCTCCCAATGCCCCAGTCTCTTCTTGCTTGCCTTACAGCATTTCACTCTCTCTCACATCTGGTTTCGATGATTCCTCCACATTGTCTTCATCTGACCATGTAAGCTTCTCTATCTGCTAAATCCCTTTCCATTTAAAAGAGTCTCATTGGAGAATCTAAGACAATATTCTAGTTGTATTTAGCAATAAGGAATAGAAATGAGTATGCATATTAGCATTGACAAATGATGCATTAGAACCTTTTTATTACAAGCATCACTAGAGCATAGAGCCCAAAAAGCTATAAGCCTAAATATAAATTGCACATGTAACAAACTCCTAATATAAAATAGCATGAAAACAAATATTAGCCTATCTATCTCACAGAAGCCATGTTAAGAGGTTGAATTGTCTGTGATTATAATGACAGCTTTATAACTATGAGCACTTGTCACTGTCTACAGGTACAAATGCAGAGTTCCTCTTTTGGCTTGGTCATTCATTGACAGTTCTTATATAAGTCAATTTAACCTCTGTGACACATGACTTGCTACCTTTTTATTTCACAGTGAGACTATAAAGATTTGGATAAATCTAAGTTAGTAAAGCTTTGTTTATAAGGTAGCTAACATCCAAAAATCAGAAATGAAATATAAAATAATGCATGCCCAAGTGTGATAATCAAATACATATTGCATTGTTGATAACTTTTACAAAGTTGTCATTGAAGGCAGAAATTTTTTTTTAGCTCTGGTTACTTGTTTTTTTGTTATTTGTTAAAACAATTCTTTACAAATATTTGTATTTCTTTATTAACAGATCACACTGAATACTAAAAATATTCTGTTGAATTTGAATCAATGTAGCAAGAGATTAGTTTTTACGTCAAAAGAACAAGCATTGATTTACACTTATAGTTAAGCATGTCTGTTGATATAAATGTGCTTGGCAGAAAACATATGTTGTGTTTAATCCTGATCTTACATCTGGAAATTTGGGTAGATCTATCCTGAACCTTATTTAGGTTAACTTTTATTCTTCAAATTTGTAAATGGCTTCTTTCAACATGTACATTCAAGGCTGTTAGATGAAAAAATAAAACACCCACAAAATATTTTCTTCTACAGTATAATAAATAGAAAGTGGGGGAAACATGTTTATTTCTAAATATAAAACTTTAATTAAAAGTGGCCATAAAGGCTTTATTTAGAAAAATATGCAGAAAATTATTCAATGCTGCCACCTTCAGGACAAATTTTAAAATAGCAATGAAAAGCATAGGATTTAAGAATTTGTTTTTTGTTTTTGTTTTTGTTTTGTTTTTGCCATGACTATTCCTTCTACAATATTGATTCAAGGTTAACTACTTAGGCATTTTCAGACAACTAAACATCTGACTTTTAAAAAATTGTTCTTGCATTCAAATATATGCCTGGAAAACTTCAACTAAAATATACTTTTATCTATTAGTTCCCTGATGATAGATATTTATTTAAGAAACATTTGTTGAGTGTTACTATGTATCAGGCACTGTGTTAGGTGCTAGAAACACAAAGATGACTAAAAAGTTTGAAAGTTCTCAGAAGTCTATATTCCAAGAAAGAAAATCAGTACATAAACCGAATATTCCAACAGCGTGGTAAGTGTTCTGATAAACGTAAGTAGACTAGTGTGGGAGAACATGAGCCCAGAGAGTAAACAGAGGGACAGTGGGGAAAGTCACACTGCAGGTGACAACCACACTTAATCTCTTATTATAATAATTTTAGGAAATACTTTAGAGTGAAATTAACTAAATCGTTTCCCTTTGTTTATTTCTAGTAACCTAAAGAAAAGGGAGGGAGAAAAAAGAATGCTAAAAAATAGAACAATTATCATGGAGTGAAAGTTCAGTGAAGTCAATTAGTGAATAGTACCTGATGTAGATAGGTTACTTTTTTTGTTTCCTTTTGCTGTCTTTTAACAAATTTCCAACAGAGTCCTCTTCATAGAGCAATCCTGGGGAAAAAAATACATTGTCATTTGCCCAGTTCATATTCTAACTACAGACAATACAGCAGAATTGTAGGTACTGAGTTATTGATTGGCAGATGTTGTCTTTCTCAAATGCTCCACAAACAACAAATGTTTTTATAAGATACAGTATGATGTCAGCATTTCTTTCTGTAAGAAAATCTTCTGTTCTAAAAAGAAAACTTGGTGGAAAATTTCTATTCCTACTATGTTACTATCATTTTATACATATGCATATACAATTGTTACATAAATAATTGCTTTACATATAAATATGCATATATAGAGAGCTATACATAAAACAGTAAAATTATGTAACATATGGAGCCTGTCAAATGTCCTTTACCTGAAAATTTGCTAGACCTCCATCATCCAAGGCAGATTTTGATCTACTTTTGACTATAATAATTTCTCAGAAATGTCATTGAAAGTTTTTTAGATTAAAATTATTATTATTATTAGATATGGAATTATTTATATCACAGGAAATGGTAGCAGTAATGTTGATGGAAGAAATTATATTTATGGATAAGTGCTTAAACTCACTATAGGAAACCAACAGCCCAATTTAAATCCATTTCTACTCAAATTCAAATTTAAAGAAGAAAGGAAAACAGGGTAGTGTGCTGAATTATGTCTTTTCTACTTTGGTAGAACAAAAAAAAAATCCAAATCTGAATAAAGTAACCTATATATTTCCTAGTCAAAGATCACACAGATATGCTAATTAGAGAGCAAGCTGGTTATTTTTTAATTAGCTGCTTATGAGGTTTCTGTTCAAGTTTTAACACTCTAATTAAAAACCTAATTGCACATGTAAGCAAACAATGTTCCTCTTGAGGTACCATCACTGAAAGAGAATTATGGAGAGATGGATTTTTATCCTGGATTTAACTTCGTCTTCCATGTGACCATGTCTTTCCTTCCAGGAATATTTACTATAGGACTAAGCTGCGCTCCAGTTTTATATGCCAAATGATGTAAATAATTTAACTTTAAAAGCCAGTTTATACAATCTCAGAGACTACAAAAAAAATATAATCATTCTATCACTTTACTAGTGAGAAATCACACTTTTAGAATTGAATGGGTAATATATGGTTCCAAATTCAGATTGTGTTACCAAAATAAGACTATTTTTTTACCATGATTTTATGGAAAATAAATTTTGACACCTAAAATGTGGAAGGTATGTGCTTTTAAATTAAGGATGTTATGCTGAGTTAGATCAACTTATCTTTATTTAAAACTCACATTTTTCTATTAACTTTACCACAACTCAGAGAAAACCCTCACAGATAGGATTAGTCCATATAAGACCCATGATAATCACGATCCATTCCAACTCTACTTTTCCCTAAGTGAACATTAATCTGACATTTACGCTTAAATACTACTTGTTTATAATGGTCTCTAATTTTAATTTATAAATCATGCTTAATATTTAAAAATAACAATTTAAAGTTATTTCAAATATTTTCCATGTTTGTAATCAAGAAGATTTAGTTTAAATCTTAGTTGAAGTCTCAACTGTGTAAGTTTAAAATCTCAACTTTTTCCATTTGAAAAATAGAAATAAGATTCATTTCATTCAGAGATAAGATGAGGCAGATACTTATATAGAAATAAATTACATAATTCCAATTCTCAAGATTCAGTTTAATGGGGATTACAGAAAAATTATAATATCTCACAAAGATTTATTTAGATCATATTTCAGAAGCATTTCACAGACCTTCAATTATAATTCAAAGTTATGTAATTAATGTTGCACACAACATATGTAACAATATGAACAGCTTAAAACACTTGCTGTATTCTATGAATCTTGTTTACCAGTTATACCCAAGCCAAGTATAAATACATTTCCTGTTTCCTCCTTCTGCCCCTGTTCGTGGCAGGTAGACAAAAGCAAGTCTCCTGTAATCCAAGGCTATCAACTTACCTCTTCTAGTTACAGCTCTCCTGGGTAACGACATAGGGAGGTAGATAACTTACCCATACAAAGTCACCAACCCCACTCTTGAGCTTTCAGAGTTGCTGACACCATTTCCGGATACTCACAACACTCATTTAGCCCCAGAGCAGATGGAAACCTCATAGCATCCTCACAAAGTGAGGTAAGTCTCCTCCACCAACCAGATCAGTCTTAAAGTCAGTTACTTGAGCCCCAAAACACTATGTTCTTTCTTATCCAAAGTCTTTAGCACTTTAGCAAAGGAGCTCTTTTCAGTATCTTTATATTATTATTTATGGATTTTATTCCACATACAGAAAAGTATACACAGCTCATATGAACAACTTAAAAATGAAAATAAAACATATAGCAGCCTCCTGCTGGGTACATTTCTATAGCTCCAGAGCCTGTTCTTTATAGGATTATATTCTGGGCTAACTGTTGGCTATTTCTCTCCAAATGAGGAAAGACGTTTCTAGGGCCAAGGGCACATTTTCACCCAAAGCCCAAGTTCCAATTTCTCTGGGCACTCAGAACCTATAATTTTCTGCCAACATGTTTTACATTTCATGTCAATTTTATATAGATTTTTCTAATTGTGTTCAGCAGGAGAGTTGATCTAATGCAAGCCAAACTGCCACAACCAAAAGCTAATATCATATTTGGTCTGAAATTTCATAGAGGACAACTTTCATATTTCATCTATTTTGCTGGGCAGTCAGTGGTGTTTCAATAGGGAATCTCATAGCTTTTCATTCATTCCTGTAATAATTTTTTATATCATCATTCTATTTTCTATGTTTATCTTTCTGAACCTCTTATTACTCAAAAGTTCACATTCTGAATAGTTCTTACATTTCTACTACTTTCTTTTTTAGTTTCCAAGAGTTGTTTTTTTCTAATAGTATTTTGTTTTAATTTATTGACAAAATAAGTTGTCTTATATCTTTAAAAATATTGCTAATAATTATTCTTTTAGTTTTTTTCTATCTGTCAATTTGGGGTGTGTGTGTGTGTGTGTGTGTGTATCTTTCATATGAGAAATCTTATCATCTCTGAGTCATAATAAAAAGTGAGAGAATTAAAATCTCATTTGCAGTTTGGAGCATGTAAGTGCAATTTGTCAACTTTGAGTTTCAGTAAAGCATGAGGTAGCCATGTAAATCATTGTCTAAAGTTTTGAGATTAAGGAGGCACTGTTCGTATATCAAAACAATATGCATAAACTAGGACTATAGCAGACACATCAGGTTGTATGTTCCTTCATTTATTAGAGAACTCCACATCTTTTGGTATTTTGTTTTGTTTTGTTTTGAGGCTGGTAGGATTCCTCAGATAAAAATCTTTATAACTCTTGCCTAAAGAGTCTGATTTTCTGCACTTAGGGATAAAGGAACAAAAGTAAGGCTGACAGGTCTTTAAATCCACATTCAGTATGAAGGAAAAAAACATTTCATTTCATCTTCCGGAAATTTTACCTGCAACATAGTTTGTATCATGACCCAACTCCATCAATTCAGAGACTGTCGGTTGAACTTCCTCTGCAGTCAAACTTCAGATTTTTATTAGGGATCATAAAGTAAGAGAATGTGAGAATTTGACTTCTCAAGTAGCTTTCACCGTAGTGCCCCATCCGATTAATTTCCAGTCCTATATGCTTGGATCTGTCAGTTCCTGAGACTTTTGCTGATTCTACAGTGTAAATCAGGATGATTTCACCTCTCCTTACTGCCATTGTGGAATTTGGCTTTATTTGGATTCTATGTCAGTTAATCCTCCTCCATTTGTATAATCTAGATATAATTTTTTTTTACTGTCACCACTACCCCTATACTTCTATTTTTGTTAGCTTATGTATTTTTTAATGTTCTCACTGTGGCTTTAGTGGAGTATCAAAAGAGAAAATAATTCAAAGTACATTCAATCTATATCCTTAACTTGGATATGTTCTTTCCAGGTTCATTGCTGATTCTGCCTCTCAGGATTCAGATATGAATTTGAGAAACATATTATAAAATATGATAACAATCTGATTAATAACAAAATAGATAGCAATCTGATTAAACAAAAAGTTCTCTTCATTAAAAGGTTCACAGCCCTCTGACATGGAGTCACTTCATTTGAACTCATTTGCCTTCCTTTTAGAATTAGTCATTTCTCAAGTCTTAACCCGACGCCTTGTCAAGTAATACCCCCCAACACCTTTCAGATATGCAAACTATACATAGTTTAAATTGTATTTAATCACCTTTCAGAGATTAAATACAGTATCGGCTATGACACGTATATCTACTTATTTTAGAAAAGTGCTGTTATACCTATAATTCAAGTGATTTTCTCACACAAAATTATTAACTCAGCAAATATTTACTAAGGGTTTTTATATAAAAACCATTTCGTTAGTATCCATTATTCACAGTGTTTCTTCATATATTATCAAGCAAACAAACAACTGTAAATCTATGAATTAGTTGGAGACAACTACGTCTAAGGATTAGAGTCAGAGGATGCCAGGGACACCTAGCCTTCATTGTGCAAGTGAGAAAACTAAAACATATTCACCTTTAATAATTCGGAGCTGGCACCCTTATTGGGAATTAATGAACTGTCCTGGGGATTTCCAGTCTGGTCAACCCAAATTGAAAGTCAATGGAGTAATTTGGGGAAATTCTACATTAAACTAGAAAATCAATTGCCTATGGAATATTAGCTAGCATGTTGGGTAAAACATAATCCTCATGTTCAAGTTAGTCATCAAATCAGTTCTGAACCCACTCCAAATGCCTTATTCTAAGCAGCTGCAGTCAGTGCTGTGGTAACACTATTCCTGCTGTATTCACCAGGATGCAAAGACTTACTTTAAACTTTCTCAGCCTTAATGAAAAAGGCAAACTGTTTAAATGTATGCTATAAATTAGACACGAACAAAATTTCACTGTAATTTTGTGTCTGATTGAAAATATAGAGGCCGGGCACAGTGGCTCAAGCCTGTAATTTCAGCACTGTGGGAGACCTGGGCGGGTGGATCATGAGGTCAAGAGATCGAGACCATCCTGGTCAACATGGTGAAACCTTGTCTCTACTAAAAATACAAAAAAATTAGCTGGGTGTGGTGGTGCTTGCCTGTAATCCCAGCTACTCAGGAGGCTGAGGCAGGAGAATTGCCTGAACCCAGGAGGCAGAGGTTGCGGTGAGCGGAGATTGCCCCATTGCACTCCAGCCTGGGTAACAAGAGCAAAACTCCGTCTCAAAGAAAAAAAAAGAAAGTATAGGTAAGAATATTTGTTGTAGTTTTCTCTTGCAATCCCTAGGTCGATAAGCTGCAAGGCACACAACTTTTATCTCTCTCCTTAAGGTCACTTTCTGATACCAGGTACCTTGTTGGATAGTGATAGTGCTGAATAAGTGCCACTATTCACAGAGGTGCTTCAGTGCCACACACAATAGCTCCTTCATTAAGGCGCAAACAAATGAATACCATGAAGCAAGTGTATGGTGCAGAATATGCTGGCACAGGGTAAGGTGTTTGAACTGGATGATCCTTAGGTCACTTCCAACACTCAGCAGTAAGTTTCTCAGAGAGTATTATAACATAAATGAATATTTTCATGCCTAGAAAGAAGTAATGATGTGCTTTTCGTTAATGCTTCATTAAAATGTCTTTACAGATATATTGCTGTAGTATCTACTTCTTTTATGTTATATTGTGTCATCCTATAAATTTATATTATACCTTCATAATTGTATGCTATATATCTGGACAGTATAAATATTTTCAATACTAATATGAATTATAAACAAAATATTATTTAGCACACGAACCTACATATTTCAAACATCATGCATACTTTTACAAGGAAAAACAAGTTCTGACAAAGTTGAATTAATAAATAAATGCAATGATGACTTTGAGAAACAGAGGTATCCCAGGGAATGGTTTCTTCCCTCTAGGATTCCAGACACAGAATGAGAGGTTTCCATTCTTGTAAAAGCAAAATCACTTGACTTAAAGTAAAGACAAATCCACAGTAAGCAGTTAATCCCTTGAGTGCACTTCACAAAGTCAAGCTCTCATGGCTGAGGTGTTGGTAGATGCCAAGTCAGCATGAAGCAGGAGCTTAGTGACTTTAATTCCATGGTCACAAAAGACTTTCCGCTGGATTTCTAACTCCACAGTTTTTAGAAATGAATGTTTGTGTTTCCTTCTGTGTACCTCAGCTGCAACCAGAACCATTATCTGCCCGTAGAATACAGTTTTAGGCTTATTGGACAGATAGAAAAAAAATCCTAGATGTTTCCATTATGACAGCTAAAAAATGGTTGGCAAATGTTCTTTTAAATTGCTTTTTGCTGCACCGACATTTTGAGATGTTTGTAATCATGAAAATATAAAGCATTATATTTCAATTTACAAAGTCCAAACAATTGATCTATAAGTGTAGTGAATTTGTTAATCATCACGTACAAATTGTCAAGCTAATCTCTCAGCAGGATAAAATGCCATTTAAGCAACATGGACAAAAGAAAACAGAACTGACATGACAAGGCAATAAATGAATTAGGGATGGTAGAAACTCCATGAAAGAGGCAGTTTAAAAAAACTGAACAAGGTTGAGGAGCCAAGTTTTGCTTTCCGAAGAGGAGAAACATCGTTAGAGAAGAAAGGAGAGGTGAAAAAACACAAGCGCTTCATGATGGGCGATGAGGAAGGAAAGTTAAAAAGAATAAGGAAGTTTGAGGGAACCAGAGTCTCTGTATGTGTAAACAGCACTAGATAAGGAGGAAAAGAACTCTGACTGGATTGGCATGTACTGACCAAACAAAGGAAGTTTTTGGCAGACAATGTGATACCATTAAAAGATTTTCACAGAAAATTTAAGAAATAATCAGAGCTTTGTTTTTAGGAAGTTCGTACTACTACTTGTGTATAAAGAGAAGTGTACAAAGGGATGGCAGGGGAAGAATAGAAACAGGAAGGACATCCAGAAACCCCTGTAGCATTTCAGGTCTCCAGGAACCGGGGCTTAAACCAGAGATAGTGGAAATGGGAGTAGGAATGATTTGTGTTTGAAGACACTAGAAGTTTTTGGTTAATGACATTGTGAGATGTCACAGTGAAAATTGACATTGGAGATGACATCATGATCTTGTCTTATTGATTTACAGGAAAAAAATAAGCCAAAGGAGAAAACTGTTATGAAAGGCAATGTAACAACTATTTACAATCATAAGCTCTGGAATGGAAAAGATCTGACTTTGAACTGCAACTCCACTGCTGACCAGCCTCATGATCTTAAAGAACTTATATAACATCTCTGTGCCTCAGTTTTCCCATCTATACAAGGGGGCTAATAAAGTACCTATCACACAGGGATGGCAAAACACAAAAAATAATATATGCAAATAAACATTGCATTATACATAAGTTTGAGTCACTGTTATTGGTAATATATTATTTTGAGCAATAGAGATTAACTTTATATTTCTTGACATTATGGAAACTTACTAGTATTAAACAGGCAATTCGAATTGTGGCATTGGAGCTGTAACAGAAAGCAGAGAGAGATATACAAATATTTGAAACTCTTGAAGTCAACTACAGGATATCACAGGATTCTAATTTTCTAGTCCCTGAGACAAAACTTAGGCATGTTCTGTGAGTCCCTGGTAACCTTGCAATATCATATAAAATTGTGTATTTCAAGGCCTCAGTTGACTGGATGTCTGACCCATGTGCACCAATCAGAGCTTTAAAACAAGAATTCAAAACTGGTTTGAAATTGGAGAAATCTTCAAAAATCATAGACAGCTGCATAGGGGTTCAATGACTAATGTCAGGCAATTGTACAAATTGTCAAAAAGGAAGAACGTTGTAATTTGAGAATTATAAATAATTAATAGTAATTCTTAGGAACTTTGTATAAAGGATAATTAAACAGAGGATTTGTGCGTATGTGTGTGTGTCTGTGTGTGCTTATTTTAATTAATCATTAGAAGCTTGCATGGGTTCACTAAGAAAACAAATTTCAGACTAATATCATTTGGGAATTTTAATGAATTTGTATAGGAAATTTAATTTTTTTCATAAGCTAAAATATTTGAAAGAATTCACTGGATTCAAAAGAGTAATGGTTTATAGTAATGCTTTACTAAAAAGCAAAGGTTGCAGTGTAAAAACAAAAAACAAAAATAAAAAAGCAGCACAAAAACAGGAAGAGAGTTTAGGTAAGCGTTGGAGTCCCAAGAGATACCATATATGCAAACTCTACAGCAAGCCTGTACAACCCATGACCCATGGGCCTCATGCAGCCCAGAACAGCTTTAAATGCTGCACAACACAAACGCATAAACTTTCTTAAAACATTGATATTTATTTATTTATTATTGTTTAATTAATTCATTAATTTTTTAGCTCATCAGCTATGGTTAGTGTTAGTGTATTTTATGTGTGGTCCAAAACAATTTTTCTTTCAGTGCGGCCCAGGGAAGCCAAAAGATTGGACACCCGTGCTTTGCAAGGTCCTTTTCAACACACTCAAGCCACTTCCTGTCCATATGAAACCATCAAGATCTTCGCAATAAATCTTGGCTTCAGGAGAACTGGTATCATAAATTGCCAGGATGTCTTTTTAGCCAAATAGTTCATTAAGCCACGCTGTCTAACTAGTTGTGCTGAGTGAAAACAATCAACAAACAAACTAGCCCAGGGAGTTACCAGAATAGTTTCAGACTTTGAATTCTACTTCCATTATTTTAACAAAGAAGTGAAGCCAGACCTCCAGGCAACCCCAAAGTCTAGAGTTTTCCAGTACAGTGCATGTCAACTCTATGCTATGCACAGGTGAGAGGAGTTCATACATGGAGAATGTCATAATTTCAATGATAAATTTGATGTCGTGTCATATGAAATTGTTATGAGCAAGATGAAAAAAAATCAATGAGATAACACTATGATTAGGCTGATTTATAGTTGGAGGAGAAACTTATCCAAAAATGTCAGTTAGGGGGCCAAAGTGGCTCCCGCCGGAGGTCATGGCGCTTGTGAAGGTGAGGTTATGAGTTCAAGGCTAACCTGAGCAACCTCATAAGCTCAAACTGATTGGCAAAAAAAAAAAAAAATGTCAGTTAGTTGCGTAAAATTACCTAGGAAGGCAATTCAGTTAATCAGTGAATGAAAGCCAGCAAAATCAAAACAGTGTTTCACAAATATAAAGTCTATGTTTAGAACATCTTAATTATTTGCTAAATAGTTAGTGATCAAATCAATGAACAGTTTATGTGGGAGAAAAAAATCTCAGTGCTTTCAGTGAATCAATGCATTCAATTTAAGCAGATATGGCTTTATCGAAATACACACATACATATTTTAAGCCTAGTATAGTGTGCAATTTAGAAAATTATTGGAATTCTTCACTCTGTTGTGGTTTGTATGGGAGACTGGTTCTATTTCTGTATATCACAATCATAACATTATGGTAACATCTGTATTCTCTACCACAGGAGGCTAAGCTAAACTAGGAATCCTTCATTGAGGAAATATAACAGTCCTTTAAAAACTAATCAACACAAAATTTATTGAGTAGATGTTAGCAGACAAAAATAAATGTACAAAATTAAGTAGACAGGAAAGGTTACATAGGGAAGTTTTGTGTTTCTTAGGACTCAGTTTTTCTACCACCACTGTCCAGTTATAGTCCCAGAGAGATTTTATGCATATACAATCAAGTGCCCATTTTAAAAGAATGATCACATACTATATGCATTATTCTGAATCTGTTCACTGTATGTTTCAGTATATGTTGCCTAGCTTTCCATTATCAGTACATAAAAATTGGTCTCATTCTTCTTAAGAGCTGCATAATATTGCATTGTATAGATACGCTGTAAGTAATTTAACAACACCTATTAATAGATTTGTAGGTGGTCTAAAACACTAAAACAATGTTTCAACAAACAACCTTTATAAATATTTTATACATATTTCAGTGTATTGAATACTAATTTTTCTAAGTTGAATGTCTGGGTGAGAGTGAATTTCATCTTAAAATTTTAATCTGTATTTTCAAATTGCTCTTATCATTGTTTTTACCCTTTCATACTGTCATGAGTAAAGTACACAGTGCTCACTTTCATCTTGGCCAATAGAGTGTTTTACAAAATTTCTCTTTTTCAAAGTGGAAAATTGAATCTTCTTACATTTTTCATTAATGTTTCTCACACTTCCATGTATTTGACACGTGTGTGTGTGCTATAGCTGGAACCTGAGCAACACCATTTTATTCAAGACAAAGCTGTTTTTCAGAAATAAGTTGTAACAGCTGCCCCATTCTCCTCACAATGACTGCTAATCTTGGCTTCTGTAAATAAAACCGCTTACCTTTTCTTATCAGTGACTGCCCGAATTGCTGGCCTTTGCTTACCAGTAATGACCAGAATAAGCAGCCCAAGTTAATTCCATTCTGGCCCCTGCAACTTGTAATAAGTAACTAAGATCTGTGGATTCCACCACTGCCCAGACGATGTGTAAACTAACACTTATCTTGACTTCTGTAAACCACTTAGGTAACAAATGAAGTGAACACAAGTCCCCTAGCCCTTGGAATGTCTGGAGACCCACACCCTCCTCTCTGCCAGGGAGGTGATTTACAGAATTCCCTAACCCTCAGAATGTCTGAATCCCTTCACCCCCACCCCGCCCCACACCCTCACCCCCAAGGTGGTTTACAGGCATAAAAGAGTCTTGTCACCCTCTTTTCGGGGCCACAGGTTGGAGAGACGTGAGTCCTCTATGGTCACTGGCAATAAAGACCCTGCAATTTGGCATACTTTGTCTTGGTGTTAATTTTATAATCTCGCATTTCAATACATCATTTGGAGGCCCCAGCAAGATATATTCTCTTTTTAACACCAGACAAAAGCTATCTCAGAATCTTGCCCAGGCGGCAGCTCCTACCTCAGGGGCCTCTAAGGGGAGGCACCCCCTGATTTGCCCCAGGGCCCCAGAGAGTCACTGTGGATGATAAGCAACCGCCCGGCTGACATCCACCCAAAATTCTTCAGGGTCCTAAAACCTCTGGAGGTAAGTTTGGTCTGTAATCTGGTCTGGAATCTTGGAACTAGTTCAAGGGGGGCCTGAGTCAGGGGACTGGATGCAACTCTGACCTGGCAAGCCTCACTGAGACGTCGCTTAAGGCTTCTGGTGGCTGGCACAGTAGGTTTCAGCCTTCTAGTGGCTGGCACAGTGGGTGTCAGCCTTCTGGTGGCTGGTGCAGTGGGTATCAGCCTTCTGGTGGCTGGCACGGTGGGTGTCAGCCTTCTGGCGGCTGATGCAGTGGGTATCAGCCTTCTGGTAGCTGATATAGTGGGTATCAGCATTCACAGCCTTCTGGTAGCTGGCATAGTGGGTGTCAGCATTCAGTTGTTTTCCATAAACACAGTATGAGTGAGAGAGTGATTGTGTAATATGTAGTCCCATGGCTGAAAAGCTACACGGCTTGTGTGGGCCTTCACCCGTGGTTCCACAGGAGCATCATAAGGCATAACGGTGATTCATTCCAGAGTTGTTGGGTCGAGCCAACTTCCTTCCTTAAGTGACCAGGCCTGGGGGTTATATGGGTACACCTTAGCCAAGAAGCTCCTGAAAGATCCCTCCATGGGCATGGCCGGGCAGTGGTTTAGACCTATTATTCTTGAGGTGGATAATATTCTCCATTGGCTAAGTGACCACTGATTTCAAGAAACTCTAATCGAGTTTACACCTTTGGAAATAATTCTGTTCTCTTTCCTTTTCTTCTTCTTATACTATCATTGAGGCCTTATTCTTCCTTTTTCCATATCTGAGAAAAAAATCTGCCCCCAATGACTTGGGTGTAGTTTTTTTCTGTGTTTTAGAGAAACAAACTTTAAATAAGAAACTACCACCCCTCTTTGCCTGTTTAGGGTTAAAAAAAAAAAAGGAGTAATTGTCTCTTCTGTCAAAAGAAACAGAAACAGGAAAGGAAAGAGGAGACAGAAGAGAAAGAGAGAGGAGACAGAGAACAGGGAGAAAGAGAAAGTGGACATAAGAGAGAGGAGAGAGGACAAGAAAGTAAGAGAGGGGAAGAAGAGAGGAGACAGAAAAGAGAGAGAGAGGAGACAGGAGAGAGAGAGGAGAGAAAAAAGTAGACAGAAGAAAGGAGAGATGAGACAGAGACAAAGGAAAAAAAAAGAAAGCGATAGGGAGACAGGAATTTAATGCTTTTCAGGGTCCCTGTGTCAAGGTGAATGAAAGCTGCAGGGGTGGGGAAATTGCAGCCGGCAACCTAGGGCTCAGTTTTTAAACTGACACAAAAAGCGTTTTTCTTTCTCGGCCAGCAACCAGCCCTACCCGACTTTCAGGCAGGTCACACTGCCTCAGGGTGCAGTATTTGCATTTAAAATCTGGCT